TCCCAAGTCGTCCCTAGCTGGAAGAGACCTTGTTGACCAACCCTATTTTTTCATCATGTAGCCAAAGCAGTTCAAACTTCATCATCGCTGTCTCTCTTGTCAGATATCGTTCCTCCAACCATTACCCTTGCGAATGCTCGACAGCGCCGTATAGACCGGGAAACGGACCCAACACCACAAGACCCCCTGCAAAAAATGTTGAATCATGTCAACGAACAGATCCGGCGTGCGGGAAAGTCCTTTGCGGGCCACACCAATGCAAGTGGCAGCTCGCAAGCGGGGAATGGAGGCGGGAATGGTGGGCACGGTAAAGGTCCTGCCTTGAGTAGAAATCCAGCAAGTCTACCATCTCCCTTTACGACTCTTCTACATCACCCTGGTGCCGTTGGAGGACCCACTCCTCTTCCTCCACGTACAATCTCACCTCGAGAAGCACGCGCTTTATCCGGTGCCAACAATAGCAAAAAGTCGGGAGCCAATGCAGGTGCGAATGCGAATACGCGGCCGCTCGCGCCAATGCCTCTAGGCTCAAAGCTGCCTCCTATGGGCGCGATCCCTGTGGGTATGCCGATGGGTCCTGGAGGTGCGATTCCGGTGCATATGGGTCCAATGGGCAACATTTTGCCTGGTCCACCGCCTGGATTCGACTATCGAAATATGCCAATGGCGTTTGCGCCTGCACCGTTGCCGCCTGGGACCACTGTGGACCCGGAGCTGTATAGGAATGGGATCCGGTGGGCTCCTGTTCAAGCTGGTGCTGCAGCGAATGGTGGGGGTAAGAATGAAGGAGAGAATGGGAATGGGAATGGAGGTGGCGGTGGGAATGTGATGACGCACCCTTTGAATATGCCACCGGGGATGTGGGCGGAGATACCGCATGGACAGTATAGAATGCAGCCCCCTCCGTCCGTGGCAGCTTCTTCTACTGGTCAATCGAAGAAGTCGAAGCCGGTACCGGCAAAGAAGGAGCAGTCAAAGAAGAAGGAGCAGCAATCGCAAGAGCATGGACAGGAGCAAGGCCAAGAGGGAATAGGAAATAGT